GATATAAGGCTTGAGTATCTAGAAAAACATTATGCCCTCCACTTGATTGGTGTCTTTTGTAAATGTTTTTCACATTGACTCCAGCTCCTACTTTTGCTAAGTGCCGAACCCAAGCAATCGGTTCTCGCATCTGAAACAGAAGAAGCTGTAGTTCTTTCAGACAAGATGTTGTGGAGGGAATTCTGAACATGCTGAATGAACAAGGACAGGGGACATTCAAAAATACATTTACAATCCTCAAAATTAACATGACTCAAACCTCAAGAGGATCCTTCAAGTTCTGTAACAAACTGGTAGAGACCCTTCAAAGCAAAATTGATTGCAGCTGCTGTCTTCCATGGTATCCATGTTCAGGACCCGTTAGCCCAAGGATGATACTGTACCATCATCCAAAAAAGTAAGAGAGTCTAACTTCAAGCAAAATATCGCATCCATACAGACTACACCATGTGGTGTATGGCAGTATTATGAGGAATATGTCCTAAATGTACAGTATTGTAGGCTCCAATGAAAGAGAAGTTCATTTATCACATGGTAGAGGCTTTAAGAGAGATATATTGCCAGTGTGTAATGAGGATAAAATTTATTTTCACTCACAGGTCTGAACTACACCAAACAGTTGTTCTTACAAGCTTTCGCTGGACCCTGTAGAGCTTCACATGAATTCCTCACATTTCCTCATGCTTCTGCTTCTATGAAGTGTTCTTGCACACAGGAAAGGGCAGCCACTCAAAGGAGGGCACACCTCTAGCTGCTTCAGCTGTCTGTGACAGATCCTTCAGTGTTTCTAGATTCTCTAGCCCAAGGAGTACAAAACTGATACTGAAGCTGAATAAGAGGTTTTGGATTTAGCAATTGAAAAAAAAGAATGTTTTTGTGCGTACAATACAATAACAGATTCGTTATAGATAAAATAATTTTATTTCCCAATTTGAGGTTTAGATCTAACTGTGAGTGTGTGTAATATAGTGATGCCTTCTGATAAATATAAATGAAAGGAGCAGATTTCCAAGGGCAGAATTTAAAGATGACTACTTTTTTACTTCTGATAATTAAATATTTCTATGAGATCATACCTTTGTACTGAAGTAGTTTTCTAGAAGAATACTTTATCATTGAATTAGTTACATTTTCCCACAGTGACAGTATCCATACAGGCTACAACATGTGGTGTATGTATACCTTTTACTCAGGTAATATGTGTGTTTACCCTTTTCCAGCATCCCCTTAAACTTTGTATATTTCAATGCAGATCTTTACCCTCTGCATTGGAGATGGAAATAAAACAACAATAAGACACAATTATGTAGAGATTCTGTACAATTACATGGCATCGGATATCTTTTATTGTGAGCTACATGGTTTATCTTTTGAGCACAATTCTTTTTCTTTTCACTTTGTTTACAGTATGTGTGGTCAGTACTGTATAATATCTTTTACTGCAAATCAGTCTTGGGAACGGGCTGCCCTTTCAGGGCTGTTTCTCAAACTTTGTTTTCCTGAAATCTCCACGCAATCAGTTCCCCTAGGAAGAACTTTTCATTGGAAAAGCAAAACGCAAGATGGATTCTCCCGGTTAGGCCATGTTTTCAAGGTTTCCTGACTTGAAACTACATTTAGCTAGGACAAAAATGAACTGCAGGCCTGTACACAAAGATAAAGCACATATTTAATGTTGCTGTGGACCTCAGTAGAGTGACATTAGACATGGAAAAGTAATGCCACAGAGACCACAAACCACTAACCACAGCTTGACTCTGACTTCCCCAGATTTTAGCAACAGCAGGTATTACTGTAGGACAGTGCATTCGTATTCATTGTGCCAGGAAGGAAGAATGGATACCCTGATAGAAAGTCTTTGGTATCTTTTGTTTAGATTAAATCTGATTTAATATTGATTGTGGATGTAGCTTTGTTAAAGGTACGATACTATTCAATTTAATGTGAATTTGCCTTTTGCAGCAACTATCAACAGGCGTTTAAAAAAATATCCTGACCATCAAACATCTTAATGTTTTTTACACAAGATAAATACAGTATTTGTTGTTTTGTGTTATTTCAGGTTTAAATGGCTGTTTACCCCTTTTCATGCAAATTTAATCTGTACTGCATGATAGTTTCACATATGTTTGTTCCAAGCTGTGTCATTCCTATAGTTTAAACCTCATATTTATATATCTTATTCTTTCAAGTGGAATTGGACCACAGTCCAACAGTATACTGACTGTGACTGGTCTTGTGAACAATAAATCAGTGTATATAAGAGGTACTTTGGAATTTGGGTCTGGGCATGATTAGAGTCCAAAACAAAGACCATAATTTCTGGAAAGTGGAATATGAAGAAATGAAACACAGTTTAAGAAACATAGAATGGGATAAACACACTATAGTACAGTGCAGGAGTCAGATGTCATCTGGTAGAATATTGTGCTCAGTTTTTCTGCTCTGGAAAGAGAAGAGGGACCAGAAGACTCCTAAGTTGACAGCCTAAAATAACCAAAATGTTTTGGTCACAAACAGATGACCAAAAGAGAACCTGATTCTCCAATACTCCACACATCTGCATTAAATTCTATTAACCTTACTACATTTTCCTTCCAGATGCCAGATACAATGTATTAGAAACACTGAATTTCTCTTATAATGAGGTTGCATATATTGAAATTGCATTTGATAGTACAGTGTGTGTATTACAATCATTGTCATGATTCTCATTGTGAGTATGAAAGGGAATGTCTTTCATATTACATCAAACATAATGTGTCCTTATTATCTAGCACCTAAAGGATGATCGCGACAACACTGTTTATGGCAAAGATTTACAGAACATTTTCACCTTCTGTAACAGTGATTTGTAAAGATCTTTTTTTTCAAATGAGGTGAAGAGACAGATTTTGGATACTTAATTCAGCCAAAATCTTAAGTGGAGTAAACTAGTTGGCATTTGTTTCGATGGATGTGTATCTTAAATAAAGATCTTATTTTCTCATTATGTTATGTGGACAACATCCATTTTCATACAGATGCAGTGGAGTGTAAGGGGTTTGCTTAGCTACAGTAGCAA